GTTTTCAACTTCAACGGCTTCAATACACCTGGAAAATATAAATCGTACACAGTACCGTGTGGTATCTCTCATTTGAGTAAAGCAATGCACAAATAAAGAGCAAAATAAAGAGTTGTGGAAGGAAATAGGGGGATGGGCTTTTTCAAATGGTAAAGGGTCCAGGAGACCAAGGTCGAGGGGAGGTAGGATGAGGACTGGGAGGTAAAAATATTTAAGATGTGTCACGTAAATGTACCAAATACCAGAGAGGTACGTGAACATCTGTCACAAAGACCAAGTAAAATAAATAATAATAATGTGAATGCGGAAAGGGATTTAAAGTCAGAGTGAGGAGCTTGGTAGGGAGGGGTTTTCCTGCGTGCGCGTGCGTGCGTGCGTGCGTGTGTGTGTGTGTGTGTGTGTGTGTGTGTTTGTGTGTGTGTGGGGGGAGACAGGGAGCCAAACAGAAGGCAGCTAACAGGAAGTAGCAAGATCTTCAAATGGATGGAAGGACAAGAGATGGAGGAAAGGAGATAAAGGAGAGGAAAAAAGAATGGGAAATAATGGAAGGGAAAAATGATGATGAAAATAGAGCTTTTGCCAATGGGAAGGGGCCAAGAGTTGGATGGAACAAGAAGGGAGTGGAAGGGAAGGGAATTGAAAAGAAAAGAAGGGTTAAGATGCATTGCACACGTGGACCAGCCCCCCCTGATAAATGTAATTGTTGTGTCCTGATAACACGTACTAATTAAAAATAAGATCTCTACAAAAAAGAATCACCATACATTGTGTACATGTACCTACCCTAACATTAATGTAAACATCATGCTCTGCAAATATGTACTAATTAAATAAAGTTGTGAAATCAAAGTAAAAATATAAATCTGACAAATTAAATAGTACATATCAGAACACTTAAACAGGAAAGCTCTAGTAAAACTGATAGCAACAGTATGATTAGATAAGATCAATTTAGAGAGAATAGTAATTGGAAAAAATACACACAATTTACCATTGCTTGAAATGGGAAGACTCTAGATATTGCCTAAAGAAACAGTATACTTTAAAAAGTCTAGTGCAAAATTTGTAATTTCTAAAATTATACCACTAGAAGAGTAGCAACAGAAATAGATAAACTTTCAGGAAAACAAAACTGTATTTAGAAAGTACAGTGAAACTGGGCTGAAAACGTAGTGCAGTGTTACGGCATTTGCCCAGCGTGAACAAAATCCTGGGTTCAACCTCAGCACTGAAAAAAAAAAAAAAGTAAATAAGTGCAAAGAAAATGTGAAACAGAGAGTAAAAGATTTTAAAAAGCACCAAAATGACATAACAGGTAATATTACTGTATTGAAAGGTATATTTCATATAAACAAAAGAAATGTGACATACTATCCTTTTAAAAGATAAAGACTGCGATTGTATGAAAATATAAAGTTCATCCATATGGTACATACAATAAACACATAATTAAAAGACATCAACAAAGACAGATTAAAAATGATATGACATGCAAAGACTAAGCTCAGAAATATAAAAGACAACACTTTAACGAGGATATCAAGTGGCTTGCAAATATGCAAAAAGATGCTTCCCTCACTTTTTTTGAGAGAGAGAGACAAGGTCTCGCTAAATTGCTAAGTTACCCAGACTGATCTTGAACCTGGGATCCACTTACTTTGACCTCCAAAGTGCTAGGATTACAGGCATGAACCACCATTCTCAACCTAACACTACTTTAGAGGGAGCAATTCTCCTATCAAATTAGCAAAGATGGAAAATGTCTGATACACCCTGGCTGACAGAGGTGAGAGTAAACTTCTCATGTATTGCTGGTGAGCTACAAACTGACCAATATTTATGGAGTGTGTCTTAGTTACTTTCTTGGTTTCTTGGACAAAATACTTGGCACTCAAAACTCCAAGGAGGAAAGTTCTATTTAGTCTCACAGGTTGCAGAGGTTTCAGTTCTTAGTCGGCTGTCTCTAAGCCAAAGAGGCAAGGCAGAAGAGCATGTGGAGGAGAAACAGTCCATGGCAGGGTCGTGGGATGCCGAGGAAGATTGCAGGAGGATAGAGACCATGCCCCCAGTGAGCCACCTCCTCTAACCAGGCTTCGACTCCTGACTCACATTTAGCTATTAGTATGTTAGTGGGCCAATCCACTGATGAGGATCACATTTTGTGATCCTGTCATCTCCCTAAAGCCCCATCTGTAAGCACATGAGGCTCTGGAAGGACATCTAAAACATGAACCATGGCAGGTTGTAACTGACATCACATAGCAAAATTATGTATATGTCTGCTCTTGAATGCAGTAATCTTGGTTCAAGGAATTTATCCCAGGACAATACATACACGTGCACAAGGATATCTAATGGAGTACTGCCTATTGGAGGAAACACTGGAAATTAATTCAGTATACCCTTAATCAAATACATGACACTACGAAGAATAAATATGGAGCTCTATTTATATGAAACAAACCCTCAAATTGCTGGCCCACATGGTGCTATGGGACAAATTAGAACAAGCCACCTCCTCTTTGAAGACCATTGTATGTCCTTGTCATCCTTGCTGGGGCCCTGTTGTTTACGAGAAGACCCCGAGGCACTGAAATGCCACCTACACACTCAGTCCTGTCCCTTATGGAGGGTAGGGCTGTAGGTACCCTCTGTGGCTCCAAAGCCAACACAAATGTTACATTTTCAAATGAGAAAGGAGAAAGGTCATTTATTGTTTTGGCATGTAGGACTATTATCAAATCATGGTCTATTTCTGAGCAGAAATAATGGATTGAAGATATCTTAATGTAACCCTAAAGGAAAAAAAGTACCAGATCATTAAGGTTTAATCGTCAGTGGCAAGAGTTGTATTTTATTTACCAATCTTAATTTGCTTTCTGAATTGAATTAATAGATTAGCTAATTTAGTGTTTAACATCACTTGTTACCTCTGAATAGCATCACTAAACTTTAAATTAGTAAAGTTTGTAAACAATGAGTTGGGAGTTGGGCCACATTCTCTCAAATATGATTCAAGTAAACATTATAACTCTTGTATCTAGGGTGTCAGTGTATTTATGTATTAAATTTTTTGAAATCATAAATTAGTTACCTAAAAGTTTTAGTCCAAAGAGTGCTCAGATATGGTTTGTATTACAGCTGTTAGAATAAAAGTCAGCATTTCTGGAGCATGTGGAACAAATGCCAACCCAGGGGGCTGGTGGCTTTCTTCTTCAATGAGGTCACTGCTCAGAGTGCTTTCACCTTGTGCATTGTTGTGACCCTAGCTTTGGTGTTCTCTCCTCATATAGAAAAGACACGTAGCCAAAGATGAAGAAAAAAGAGATGGAGACTCCTGTCTCTTATGAGTCTCAGGTGCCAAGTATGACTTCTTTTGCTCCATTGGTGAAAACTACTTCCATGGTCCACTTCTAAAAATGCCCATGGCTACACCATTATCAAACAGAAATGAGCCTACACCACAAAGAGGGGAGTGTGAGTTTCTGTTGAGTAAGCCAGTAGGCTGCCTTTGACTTGGTGAGATGCAGCAGACTGTGGCTGTGTAATTACGCAGTATTTGGGTGCTTGGAACTTGGGAACCCAGGATTGGCCTTCCTTGGGATGGGAGATTCAAACTGAATAAAATCTCTCTCGTTTTTTGAAAAAGAATTTTCTACATGTGCAGTCTACTTCTCATCAATATCTAAAAGTTAGCTTTAAAATTTTCACGTGACAGTCTAGGTCAAAAATGTAATTTTTTTCTTTTATATAATCCCCGTCTGTATTGTGCAGCTCTATCTTCATGGGTCTCCACTGTCGTTGACGATGGTGATAGCTTCCTTTTATAATCGTCTCTTCTTTGTCTTCTGGATTATTTCCTGTCAGATTGGATTTTAAGCCCCTTCTCTCAGTGTTCCTTGAATGTTTGTGATCCTTAAGGTCTCATTCTGAGTTAGTACTTTTCTACCCATTCCCTGAAGAGGAATATCTCTGGGAGGATTAGAACTGCTGCTTGTATTCTGTCAGTGATCACACTGGTGTCATTAGACCAGATGGCCATACCACACATTTTCCTTGGACATCACTTAAAGCTTTTTATATCATTAAGTCCATACATACCTCTTTCTAAATTTTCTCTTCCTCCAAAATTTCCTTCTGCAGCAATGAAACCTGGTTGCACAAGCTGAAATTTCAAAGTATGTGTTGATCCAATTTATTTGAACCTCATTAAATAGATCACAAACACATCTAGCTTATTTGACCTCCATATTTCAAATCCATTTATCCCTGCTCATAGTCTACTGTTACTACCTTAATTTAGAGCTAAAATATCTCCTCACCATTTCTGAAACTGCTTTATTTGGAGTCATCTGGCCAAGTCCTCCTCTGTTTAGTTTTCATGTTTGGTGGTTTGGGTCCCAACCAAGACCTAATTATCAAAGACACTGCTAAGGTCTGGGAATCTAATGTGTCTTCTGATCCTGGGGAACTTTGATTACCAACCACGTTGGAGATTTCTTCTCTAAAATAAGCCATGTGAGTGAGCTCCAAACAGCAGGTTAACTACCACCAATTCCTGCATAGTTTTCAGTGCGTTGTAGATCATCCCTTGGGATTCTAAGCCCTGCAAGGTGCTGGGCTCTGGTACCAAGCATCTGGTTACTTCAAGAGCTTCAAGTTCAGTTCAGTTACCTTCACGCCAGGGTGACGGTGACCTGGGGAACCCCGCGTCACACTGTGAGCTTCATACATCCCTGGGCTCAGTGTATTGTTCAGGTCTCAGAAATGTTCCACCAGGTCTAAAATCTGACGGAATTAATTTTTGGCAAGCTGGGATCTAAGAGGAACTATGGTAATAATCTGTTATTGAACTGTGAATGTTTCACAAGTGATTCTGGCTCTTTTATAACAAACAGAATTTTTTTAGAAGGGTGTTGGGAGTCACCAAGTAGTTGGAGGCAGAAGAACTATTTAGCCAGTGTGCAAATCCCACGGAAGGACAGAGGTCTAGGAAGCAGGAAGCAGAACCATGCGGTCATCAGCAGGAATGGGCCGGGAGGACTCCAAGAGCCTGCTGTGGTCCTGCCTGCCTGGCTTCATGCTCCAGGTTCTCAGAGCACCCATGTGATCCGTCAAGGTCGGGTCATTGCCAGCCCACTGGATTATGCAGGGCAGAGGGTGGATACAGCCCCCAGGCCGTGTTGTGGGAGACAGGACGACTCACGGTGAAAAGGAGCTCATTTTTTCGAAAGGCAGTCAGGTGCTGTGAAGAAGAGAGAAGAAATGCTAAGCAAAAAATAAAGAAAACGAACAGCCACCGTGGTGCACATAAGGAAAATGGAAGACGAGAAGGAAAGAAAGGGAGAAAAAAGGTTGCGGAAATAAAGAAGGTAATAGTTTCAAACTTCACACAATCAGTTCCACAGGAACTTTGCTTTGCTTTGCTTTGCTTTGTGTTTATTACTTTTTAAACTAATCGAAAGAAAATCCCTTATGGATTTGATAACAATATATCTGGTCCTAATAATCCCAGAATCTCTATTTGTAGACATTGAATGTGTTGTTGAAATTAAATATAATGCACGAACAAAAATTTCAAGATACTTTTAGGATTTGCTTTCTCAGTAAAGCATATCACAAAGGGAATAAAGAAATTCTTTATTCAAATTAATGGTGAATTCTTTTGTCATGAGGATAGGAGTTTATATTCATTTCGGTGAAAGCAAATAAATTGTTCTAGACAAGAAAAACAAAACTAGCCCAAGGCAGTATTTTCATTATAGAAAAAGGCACATGTCCATGAATATCTAGTTTAATATTAACAAAAGTCATTCAATTAGCTATGCATGTGCCATTGTTATGAATATTTATTCGTGTCTCAGCTAAGTAACACTGATATGTTTTATTCACTGGTTCAGAGATTCAGATGTTATAAACATTACCCTTCCTGCCCTGGTGGGAGATAAGGGAATTTGAGTGTAAAAACAACCTGACATTTCCCAGCACTGAAAATGCAAATTTCTTTAGAACTTTCAATTTTATGTTCAGGAAATTGCCTTTCTTGTTTGCTAATTTTATTTCTTCTCTAAAATCATTAAAAATTTTTTGATGAGCTAATATTGCTTCTGTACTAATGAGAATTATTATAGGACCCCCCCCCCATGGTTTCCTTCTCCTTATCTCTTCGAATAATAGCTCTAGGTGACCAAAGAAAAGGAGAATAATGTGAAAATCGCAAATGAAGGAGAGTAATTAATGCTGGGACAGCAAAAGAGTGACAAAGCTACTCCTTCATCCGTGATAGGCTTCTGTAACCACTTAGGGACTCTAGGCTGCTCAGTCCAGGTGTGGCTTGCGCATCTTACCTTCTGCACTCTTAACTGGGGGGATCCCTGTTGGAGAGTTGCCTCGTGAGAGAAAACTGACTTTATCTGATTTGGATCAATCGCATTCATATGTCAAAGAACATTGCAGTGTGCCACTGCACACTTCTCTGCACGAAGAAGTGTGTCAGCCTTTGTGACCCAGGGGCCTTAGCCCCCACCACTTGACGAGTGTGGACAGCTCTCTACCACCCACTTGGACTTGGGTTCTCCCTTCTCTCTGAAACTGACCACTTCTCAATCACCATGGCGAATGCATGCTCTCCACCTAGTGGAGAATGGAATTCCACTTACTAGAAATGGAACACACACGCGAGTACATGAACAGGTGTATGTGTGCACACACATTATTTTATGCTCTGTGTGTTCCATCGCCTGAGCACAAGGCCTGACATTACAGTGCAAACACAGGGAGATTTAATTTAGCGCACAGCTTCAGAGTCCTCCATCCAGGGTCAGCTGGATCCAAAGCACGAGCCTCATGATGGAACAGCACAGTGAAGCAAAGCTCCTCGGTCCATGGTGACTGGGAAGCAGAGCAGGGGACAGGGGAAGAAGAGGGGTTAGGGACAAGAAGTAGACCAGAGAAGCACACCCACGTGACCTGCCCAGACACACCCAGAAGTGTGTTCTACCCACCCTTAGAGTGGATCCCCAATCCAGTCAGCCGTTGATAAATTCCTCCCTATCCCACCACATATGCTATAGATAATCTCTGGTCCAGATAAGAAAATAACATATTTTCATAGATAGGTGAGATGGAGATGAAGAGATGACAGAGAAAGAGAGAGAGTTAGAGAAATCTATTTCCTGTAGATTTCAGTTGTCTGGGCTTTGGTTACTCTCTGACGTCTTCAATATATTCTAGTCACTACTTCCAATTATCATTCAGTAAATGTATACAAATTCATTTCCCAAACCTCCTGATAATCTCCCCATCAAAGATATCCTTATTTTCCAGCATCTATCACGTCCTCCTTGGCTTGTCAATAGTAAAACCCATCAAACAAAACCTGTTCTGAAGAGAGGGAAATTTATCCTCATGAGGCTTAAGAATTGTTTTCTTTTTTAATCTGGTCAATTCTTATTCATCTTTATTCCTATTTCAGGATCACTTCCTCAAAGACACTTACTTGTCTTGGCCTATCATCTGGTTGCATGTTGTTTTGTTACTAGTTACTAATGAGCACATGCTCTGAAGTTCTTTTGTGTACCTCAATCAGTGATCAAGCTTTTATTATAATGTTACTCTATCAGTATCTATTTCCCCATCTACACTGGAAACTCCATGAGATTACAGCTTCTAACTACTTGGGTTTCACAGTCTCAGTGCTTCACATAGGGCGGATCTATCTTATGGCTCAATAAGCAATTGACAAATGAATTACTAAGTATCCACCCACAAGCTGTGAGTAACCAGTGATAGCTTAGTATGTCATATCTGCTAAGTGCATCTTCTGGGTAGAGATAAAAATATTTTAACCCAAGGCATCTGCAATGCAAAATCTCCATGGCCTGGAACTGGACACAGAAAACTCTTCTGGAAAGGGAGTGGGGGTACCAGTTCCACGCTCTTCAATGTCTGCTAAGGGAGGGGCCTCCTGGTGGGGGGGAAAGAAATGGGGAGCTCACATCCTCAAAGTGCTTCACATCTCCTCTTCCTTCTATTTTCCACTCAAATGACCCCTCGGGGCCTCATCCCGCAGCCAGATGAGAGCTAGGTGATAACTTAAGCAGTGGATGGTAATCTTCTCCTGCCCAGGGCATCAAGTGACCTGGATAGAACTAGTTTAGAAGTTTTCCCCTTTCTTTGTCTACCTTAAGGTGAACATTATAAAGGTGGTTGAAGTTGCTGTCCTTAGTTGGTATGAAATTAAGGGGAGACTTTGGTCCTTACAACCATTAAAGTCTTAATTAAGTCAAAATTGGGAACTCATTACCTCCTGTGCGGTTTGTGATTTGGGTTTCAAATTGTGTCACTGCCATAGGTCTGACCTGTAGCCTTTGCTTCTAAGCAAACAGCTCTTTGCCTCTAACGTGGTCATCATACAATCTGTTCTTTGCCAAAAGGATTAGTCAGCTTACTAAATGATGCTTGCCTTCTGATTGTCTAGAGAGAAGGAATGTAATATTTGATTTTCAGGAAAGTGCTGGAACTTAAGGGTAGAAAATGGTCAATTCTTTGGGAAAAGGAATGAAGTACTGTTACACTCATTTCTTGATGAGTAGCAGTTGCTAGTAATAAGTAATAATTGTTGGCTGGTTAACCAGTTGTTTTCTGGATGAACTGAATTAGCACTATTGGTCAAGATACTGATGATGCTAAGGCTGGGACCAGTGGTGTGTGAGATGTTGGCCTCGGCACTAGATCAGGATCACCCAGGCCCTGTTCAAAAAGAGCAAACCGCAGGCCAAAGATTATGGCTCACTGGAAACAGAAGGAAGCTCTGAAAGCTGCATTTTATGTGGTTCTCTCTATGCATTATGGTTTAGATACAGTGTCCCCAAAAGTTTTGTGTGTTCAGAGGTGGGGTTTTCAGAAAGCGTTTGGATCATGGAAGCCCTACACTCATCAATAGATTAATCCACAGATGAGTTCACAGTTAAATATGCAGTCAGGAGGTAGGCCTGGCAGAGTGGGTACATCACTGGTGGTGGGCATTTGGAAGCTGTCTATTCGCTGGCTCTTCTGGTCCCTCTGCTTCCTGGTGGCCGTGGATTGAGCAATGTTCCTCTACCGTGCCCTTCTGCTGGCCTTTCTGACTTGGAACCAGCTGACTATGGACTGAACTCCCTGAAACTGTGATCTAAATCAACTTCTCTTTAAACTGTGATTATCAGGTATTTTGTCCCAGCAATGGGAGTGCGGACCAAGACAACATGATTTATCACATTTCCTCGAATCTAAAGTGTTATCCACTATAGTGGGAGAATTATTTTTCCTATGACTAAGAAAAAAGAAAGATGTTGATTAAACCATTCCATGATACTTATTATGTCATTGATTGTAAGTTGCAACCAGATTTTAGAGTTTTTAAAACACAACTGTGATTTAGGACATTTAGAGTGAATGTTAGGATGTAGAGATGGTAGAGATGGGCGGGAAGCAGCAACGTGAAGACTAGAGGAGGAGGAGGAGGAGGAGGAACAGGCCAACAGACACCATTAATCTGAGAAAATTCTGCATCTGTCTATGAACCAATAAGTAAGATTATACATCCCTAGTGTAAACTGAGTATCAGCTCCAACAATGGTTTTGGTTTGTACGTAAATTCATTTTCATAAGAAGCATAAAGAAAATGAAGTTATTTGTTTATATTGAAAAGAAAATCGAATAAAAATGTGACAACCTTATATTATAGCCAATGGGAAAAGCAAGTGGCATTGATATAAGTCGTTGAGTAGATCTGAGGTGTCCGTGTGGTTCTGACACCTTGTCCTAGTCTGGACATGTCACTTTTTACCAACTTTTCCAACAGAAATACAAAGGGGGGCCTTGAGTAAAACTATAAATTTTTCTAGTAGTCATATGTCAAGAGCTTAAAAGAAACACATAAAATTCATTTAATAATCTATGGTATATCTTATTTAATGCAACACATATAAAATATAATCATTTCAGTAATAAATCAAAGTCATAATTATGAATGAAGTACTTTTTCATTGTGTTTTTCACATTGAGTCTTTAAATTTGGTTGTTTGTTTTACAGTTTCATGACATAAAATTCTGACTAGCCACTCCTCGAGTGTTCACAGTCACGTGTAGTGGGTAGACAAAGAAGGTTTATGCTCTCTCTAGCAGTTTATGTGTCTATAAATTAGAAGCATACTTGTCCCATGATAATTACTTCATATCTGTGTAGTAGCAAACTGTACAGGAATGGGTATTGATCTCCCTAGAAGGAGGGACTTGTATCCCATCTTCTGCTGTTATAGTTATATAAAAACACAAATATAAAAGAAACACACTGATGTGCTAATGTGCACTTTACTTTAATTAAAAAACAGGGATAGAGGGGCTGGGGACTTAGCTCAGTGGCATAAGCACCTGCCTTGCAAGCACGCAGTTGTGAGTTTGATCCCCGGTACAAAAAAAACAAAAACACCAAAAAACCACACATACACACAAAATCAGGGATAGATTTATAAATCTCATATACATATTTGACATACAGCCATGCCAGAAACAATTGTGTATGTATGTTAGTCTCAAGCTCAGGTTCAGATTTTTCTCAAGTAAGACTCAGGATTAGTATCCAAAATATGGGGAGTATATAGTCATGTGAGGCCTGGCCCCTGCTCTTGAGGAATTTAGATTCTAGTTAGGGAGAAATGCCTGAACCCCATGTGCTCTAAGATACTGCTCAAATGACTTTTCTCTGCTGCAATCCTGTGATGTCAAAAATAACAGGGATACACTTGATCTCACATACTCTTTGGGTGGCCAGGAATTTTCACTGCACTATAATCTAAAGTTCACGTAGTAAAACGACCCTCAATCTTACTGAGCATCAGCTGTGATGCCACACAGTTCTGAATCCTCAGTGAAACCCACAGCGGCCACAGTGCTACTGAAACAGCTCTGTCTGAGGTCATCCTAGTTTTTGTAGTGATTCCTAACAAAGGAGCTATATTTTCCCTCAGGATAACACAGGTGCAAAAATTCAGATGAGACCTATATTGTTATTGTTTTGAGCTCTTTGTTATAGTTATTTGACTCTTGCTTTTTATTTTTTTTATGCTTTGTTGTGTTTTGTTTTGTTTTTCCCTTTAATACAGAAAGGATAGACGTGTGTGTATAGGCTTATATATGCCTAGAACTTCACCTAAAGAGTTTACAAGAATTAATTTTAGTATGTGTGATGGTATGAACAGCTACATTAAAGAAAATGAGACATCATGGTAGCCATTGCTGATTTCCTATCATTTTGTTTTGAAGCCTAATAATGCTTTTATTCTTGGCTTTGATTGGTTTTAGTCTGTTTCAAATTATTTGATTTCAATATATGTGAAGGTATGGCCAGCTATTTTGAAGACAACAAGAGACATTATGGTAGCCACTACTGATGTCTTGTTGTCTTGTTATTTGTATTATTTTACTCTGATCTGTTTTGCTGTTTTGTTTTGTTTTGTTTTGTTCTTTTTTAAATTAAAAAAAGTTGAAAAATAAAATTCATACTAGTGTTGGGGGATAACAAACCAATAAAAAAAAAAGTCAAGTTTACTACTAGGAACCAGAGGGACCATTTACGTCAAGCTGTGGATTTCATAAACAGCTCCTGAATTTAACTGTTCCTTTGGAGCAATTTCCAAGTCAAAGTGGCAGCTCCATGCCCCATGCAACCCTGCTCCCCTATATGGCCAGCATCAGCCACTGGGCTGCTTCCTGATTTATCTTCCTTTGTGTCCCCTGACTGGTGACTGCTGGATGTGGGTTCACAGGTGCCTCAAAATCCCCTGAATAAGAAAAAGAAAGGCAAATCCCCTGTTCACTTACTTGTTTGGACTGAATATCACATTACGAGGCCCTCCTTGTGATCAAAATCTTGTTTTCTGAGCTGAAGGTTAAAACGAATTGGTGTTTGAGAAGCCAAACCGAGCCACAGCAGCAGTATAACATCAAAGATTAAAAGCCCGTTTTAGTTTAGGTCTTTTGAATCCACTTCTGCTCATTGCCTTTTATTTTATATTCTTCTCAAAATTGCCTGGTGCCTGATGGTTAGGAGGAGAAAATAGAAAAAGGTCCTTGGCATCTTATCAGAAGCCGAATTATTGAGATTTGCATCCTGTTCTAATGTTGGCTTAGGGATATGTGTGTCTCCCCTTCTTCCTTAAAGTACAGGTAATCAATTTGGGGCCAACAGAAAGAGACTTACCTATTTCTCGGAAAGGAATAGAGCAAACAAGTATTTGGATGCCACAGCAGTATTAATATGCACAAGAAAGCAACAGCGAGTGCTACTCTGCAGAAAGGAATGAATGAATGAATAAATGGACTGAAAGCACTTTATTCTTCTCACATAATTTCTTCCCGGTGACATTATTGAACAGGCTGTTGAAAACAAACACTGTTAAATGGGAAAAGAAGAGCGGCAGCCTCTCAGTCCCCGCTGAAACGTTCTCCAATGACGAATGTGCCCTAAATGGATTGAGCTTTGTGAAAAGAAGCCAGAGAGAAATTTGATGTGGCCCCCTGACCTCTGGTAAGCACGTGTGTCTTCACCTGTCACACAACATGCTGGCACTTGCTTACTTTTCAGCAAAGACTATTGATTTTGCTTATTGGCTGCAGGCGAGTCCATAAAGAACAAATTACAAAGTCAGAGGTCCACAGTTAGCAATTGCTTGCATGATAACAGGGACCTCCCTGCACCCACACTCACCACCAACACCCTCGAAACTCGGGAGCTGGGGAAGGAGCCCGGTCGTGTTCACAGCTGCTGCCCAGTCAGTGTTGTGTACAAGAGGTTTGTGCACAGGATGAACCCACAAGAAATGGCCTGCAGCTGTGGGCCGTGGAATTCAGTCCTGCAGGTGCATGTGTGGGTAAGCACGTGTGTGTGAGTGTGCACATGCGTGCATATCTGTGGGCAAAAGCCACCTCCTGGATGTGGAACAGCGAATGTGAAATGGGCATCAGAGGCACCTGCGACATTTTAGTTTTTCTTGAGGTTTACAATAAAATCATGTAGAGTGAATCTAGGCACATTTTTTTTTAACCTAAGATATTTTGTGTGCTAGGTAATTTGTCAAGATGACTTCCAGGATGAAGAAGGTATGACTTTTCAGAGGTTTAAAGGAGGCAGAACTTGTTTCTTCTGTAAGTACTCGAAGTCAAACTTTTCAACAAATAAACCAAAATAAGATGAAAGGCGACACAGCAAATGAGCTTGAAGCCACCAAATTGGCTTCTCTTCCATCAATTCAGTTCTATCAGCACCTTAAATAGTTTAATCGGCTGGATCAAGCATGCAGTGAACTGAACGGGTTGTATAACATTCTCAAAACGATTTTTTTATGCAATCATTTTCAGTAGGATTGAAGCCCAAGATTCGCTGGTCTCACAAATAAAAACAGGGGAAATCAGTATACGTTACTCTCGATAATTATGATAGCTGACATTTTATGGCCAAACATTACAGATTATTCCCAAAAGTCTAAACACTGGGACATTCGTAATTAAAATGAAGAGATATAGGATTTAAAAAAGCACAATTTCATAGAACTCATGTACGATTCAGATATGCAAACCTTTTAGCATTTCTAATTCTTCAGAGGCAGATATTAGAAAGATAAGTCATGTTTTAGAGGTACAAAATTTTTAAAAGTTGTAAAGATGGAGAGTAGATATACTCAATTTTCATGAAACTCAGTTTTCATGTCAGGAAGATAACTATTTAAGAAATATATCTGAATATTATCGTCAGATTATGTTGACCATGTAAAGAACCAAGTATGAGGCACCCTACAGGGTCCCAAGTTTCAGATTTATGCTTACGCCTTCTCCGTAGCATAAAAACAAAGATCACTTTGACTGGGCCCTTATTTGCTGACAGTCATTAACTATATTTGAGGAGATGCCACACCAAGAGAGTGATCTACATACCTTAAAGAGCTGCATGGAAGGAAAAACTTCAAGTATACCTTCCCATGGGGCACGGGCTTTTATGAATATTATTATGCATTAACATTACTTTGATGGGACTGCTGAGCTAGATTGCAATTCTAAATGAAAACTAAAATCCTGGTCACTTTATTTCGGATGACACCGTGGAGATTCCCAGGTAAGCTCACCCCAGAGAGAATTTTCAAGAAATGTTTGGCTATGCAAATTACCTGCTAAAATGGCTTTGGATCCTGTGAATCCTGTGAATTTGGAAGAAAAATGACAACCCCTGCTTGGGGCTGGGGTACAAAACATGGTTGAGGGTTATTGGCTGCCCTGTTAGGCCCCATAAAATAGCAGAATGTCGAGCAAGGAGAAGTCTCCGTCACTCCCATGGTGCTCCCCTTAAGCCTCCTCGTAGCCCACCTGGACCCCCCACACCCTCAAGCACAGGAGATTTTCGTACTGTCAGGTGCATGGGCCATGCTTGTCATCATCTTCAGCCGCTGGTAGCTGTGGACTGGTGCGGGGGTTGAGAAAGGAGTTGGGCTGTTTATGATCTTCCACGATGATGGCTATTGCTAATTCCGCTGTGAAATATGTGGAGCATCTGGAGAGGGGATTCATAAAGTGTGGCCAAAATAGCACTCGCTTTATGCCCCAGCTTCTGGCAACCATTTAAGACAGCACTGAGACAGATCATATGACCTCAGCCCTTGCAAGACCTCATCACTTTTCATGGGCGAACGGAAAAGTGCTGATCCTAGAGCATTTATGCTGATGGAACACAGATAAAAATCTGCAGGTGTAACTTTTTAAAAATTTAGTACATGAAGCATAAAAAATATATCAGTACCCCCATACATCACCGAGGCCCGACTTCAACACCATCTTGTAGATAGCAAAACACTCACTGGACTCTTCCTGTGCCAAGGAACACATATATGGAGCTACACAGTATCAAAGAAGGAGTAGAAAGTGCTCCTTTTGTACACGTCAAAGGGTATCAAGTGTGGGGATGGTGTTCCCTGATTGTCACCCTAGAGGGTACAGCTTTCAGTGTGAAGCTATCCAGTGTTACCGACATGTGTTTTTATCACCTGACTTTTCATTGGGTGGAAGCCATGCAGAGAAGGCTTGAAGGAGTATCGAAGGCGAGGAAGGAGAAAAGCACGTGGAAGGTAAGCAATTCGGAAGACGTGGAGGCGGGAATAGCCACTCAGGATACTAGTGAAGAAAGGAGCCAAACATCGTGGCCTCCAGGGAGGGTGACCTTTAAGTAGACACTGAGGTCAGGCCCAATTTCCTCACCTGAGAGAAGACTGGAATGGATCTTGAGTCCAGTTCCAAGCTTAATCCAATCTTCATTTGGTATAATAATGATTATTTTTTATGTGGAGAATACAAGTTTAATACTTTTAGGAGATCACATATCTTATAAATGAATTTGGCTGAATGAATCCAGTCATTCAATATTTAAAAAGGTGCAAACACCAAGGAAAAAAGTAACTGGATACTCAACACCCTGAGAACAAAGGATTTCTTACCTTAGAAATATATAAACCTCAACATAAAAACATAAAGTAAGATATCAAGTTTAATGATAACTTGAAAAGTTTTGCTAATCTGATACATGAGAAATGACAGCTCTATGCTAATAATTTTACCAAGAAAGATGGATTGCCTGCTTGCAAGATACCATCTCCACTTTCCCTAACTTAGGAGTGCTTACCACCAATCACAGATACATGTATCTAGTGAAACTGTTTTGTAAAATAATGGGCAAATTTACGTGGTTCCTGTGACCTGAAAAAATTCAAATTCACCTTACCAAATATATGCTATTCTATACTACATTAACCTATTAAGGTCCATTCATGCCTACAAAAAGCAAAAAAGAATATTAACTCATAGTAGGAGAAGGTATCCAGGCCAAAAGTATCATGCAGGAGTTTGAAATCACTGCTTTCACTGCTAAATTCTCCACTCCTGTCTGCTCAGTCAAACATAAGATGTCCAAAGCACGCACAAGAGTCCTCTCCCCAGCCTGCCAATTCCTTTTCTGCCTGAGTCCTACAGCTCCATGGACGTCACAGCAGTGTTTGAGAAGGGCAGCATGCACCCTTATCTGAACTGTCTTTGCATCTTTCCCTACATTTTCAGCTATGGGCTCTAAAATATTTTACGCTTAAAAAATCTCTTTATCACTTCCTCCTCCAGGGCTTAGTTTGGATGCTCTTTATTAAAGCCTTCTCGGGATTATTGTATGTGGGAGCTAGTGCCAGACGCAACCATCACCCATCTCTCTTAAATTCTCCTCTCTGCTGCCAGGGAGCTCTGCTCAAGGGAAGCCTGCCGATACTACAGTCCACTGGTCGTCTTTCACTGGGTGCTTATCACACTTTGGAATCAAGTCCAGTCCCACAGAGTGGACGCAGGAATCTTCATTGTCCGCCCCCTGCCTCTTCACTGGATTCCTCCACTCTAAAGCCTTCCATTCACCCGTCTTTACAGCCCATTGCTTTGAGCTTAGAGGAGCTGAAAACCATTCCTCTGCTCCTCTGCACTGGCATCCCGCAGACCCTTTACTGAGCTGGGCTTCAACAGAAAACACTGTAAAACACGGAACCTATAGGTGAAAGACCCTCCTTCCTTTCAAGATGTATCAGGACGAGCCACAATTTTACCTTCTCGCAAAATGTGTCTCTCTAATAACCTTTACCATACTTGAAGTTCTCTGGGCTTTCAGGTCATTATCTCTGTTAAGGATTCCAAGAAATTTGACTTCAGAAGTCAGAGCTGAGTTTCTTTGCAAGAGGCCAATTCTGTCTCTTCTCTGAAGCTGTGAGCGGAAACCTACAGACAGCTGGTAAGAAAACTCCAGCAATTCTGGAAATCTAGACAAGGTTGGGACGCATGTAACAACTTTTCTTCTGCTGTGGGATCTTATCAGGAAAGCAACAGGCCCTGGTTTACAGTCTCTGATCCCAGGAAACCATTGAATCGTTTCAAAATAATGAAAGTGACCGAGTGTGAAGAAACTCCTTCAGCAGGCACCAACTCAGGCTCCACAAAGACAGGACATGTCTGGAGATTTAAAATTTAGGAAAGGTAACATCCAATCCACCCAGGGTTTAAGAGCATGCAGCTGTTAAGGTCGGCGACTGCAAGGTCCCTCCAGGCAGCTTGTAGGGCAGATGGTGTTTTGCAGGTTCAAAGGGAAGCCCTACAGATTTTGAAGGAGAAGGTTTGACTTCTCTCAGCAAGGACAGTGGGGAAGCTGTCTCCTCCTCTCCAGGACAAGCTATGCCCGGAGCAGCCAGGGGCAGAAACAGGATGTGGTCCTGGAATATTCAAACTTAAGAAAACAAAACAATGCAGTGTTTGTGGGTGCCCTTAAACAGATCTCTAGTTCAATCCTGAAGGAAAGTCGGAAAGAAAGAATGTCGAAAGAAACCAAATTAGCACCTGAGGGAAACAGGCAATTAATTTTTAAAAAGTAACTTCAAAAGCAGCTCTCTTTGCTTCAAACGCAGTCTGAGTTGATTCAAATTCAGTAACTCTCTCTGTCACCACCGTGCGAGTCCACTCACCTGAGACTGCACGGCTGCATTTCGGCTATCTGAACCCTGATTCGCACTGTGAATGCGGGCTTTCTCCCTGCTGCCAGCAAAGAGACATGAGATTTCTTAATTAGTTGTTCAAGATGCAAACATCCTACATGTTTGCAACTCTCAAGGCAAGTGTTAATCAAATATTCTAAAGCTTGAAATTTCCTAACAGGGTATTAGTGCTACCTGAATCTCCAGAAGCAAATCCTGTATGGCGAATGAGCTGTCCAGGTAGTTTATGCATGGGAGGAGATGCTTCCCGCCCCAGATCAGCAGCGCTACCTGTAACACGCAGGGTGTCTACTTCTTTACTGAACTGGTTCCTTGTTTGTGTTGCAGGAGTAGATAGAAAAATCTCTTTTCTTCTTCAGTTGATTCCCTCATTCTGGTTCAGTTCTGCTGTGTGTTCTAAACCCCAGAAGCCCGATCTGGATTCAGGAATATTCTTTCCAGAATATTCTATCACATGCCAGGCAATGGGCCCTCAACAATGGTGCCTGTTAATTGTTCCTCTGACAGTTCCAAGTATTGTAATGTGCCTGTGTCCCATTCCTTTCTTATCTAGGAATTTTAAGAACCACCAGAGCTTCCATTTCGTTCAGTACGTGTACATAACGCATCTTGTTTTTCATCCCCTTTTCTTCCTCTCCTTCCTCCTTCTCTTGTTCCTTTCTCATTAGAAAAAGCTCTTTTTCCCTACTTTCTATTATCTGTCTTTCATTTTGCTCTTTATTTATAATTTGCGTTTCTCATATAAGAGAAATCATATGATAGTTAAGCTTGTGTGCCTGATTTATTTCACTTAACATTCGGCTGCAGGGTGCATCCGTTTTCCTAAGAGTGACTTGAGTTTATTTTTATGGCAGAGTAGTATTCCATTGTATGTTAAACACATTTTCTTTACCTGTTCATCTGTTGATGGGCATGTAGGCTACTTCCAAGACTTAGCTACTATGAACCGTGCTGCTATCAACATGGGTGTGCATGTATCACTGCAGTATGTTTTTAACTTTTGGGGGGAAGATACCTAGCAGGAGAATGATTGGGTCAAATGGAATTTCTAGTTTTGGTTTTTGAATAGTAGAGTCATATGGAAGTTTCCCAAGGAGCAGATGGCTTTAGATCTTTAGTTTACTACTACCAAAAAAAGCTCTCTGTTATGGTTGACAAGGATGAATATCTGATTTAGGCTCCTGTGGATGAGCTCTCTGGTCAGTGCTGACCTCTGGGATGTCTCTGTGTGTGCCTTGGCAGCATGTTATCCTGATCGCTAACACCAGCTTGTACTTACTGAGTAGCTACTTTGTGCAAAGCCGTATCCTATTTAATCCTCACAGCGATGGTGTAGATACTCTTACAGCCCTTATTTTATAGATAAAAGCAGAATTCCAGAGTGCTAATAAGAGCATGGTTCTGAGACCCATAGGTGCCCATTAGCAAGTCATCAGGCCTCCAGTGCTGAAGCTGGACCTGGCCCTCCAGGGCTTCACACAGGGCTGAGCTCTGCCACCCACCCAGCTTTCAAATAGCACTGCACTTTCCCTCACGGTTCTTAATACCTAAATCATCTGGGGCTTTAGGAAATGTGACTTCTATTGAAGACAATGCCTTTAGCTAGTGAAAATCAGTGTTCACCGGCTGTGTGAAATGCTTCACCATAAAAACCACCTCTCTGGGAGAGTGCAGCAATGAGTGGAGTATGATCTGCTTCCCCAGGGTCCTCGGCCCTTCCAGAGATGGCCGTGGGTGATCTGGGGTCCGAGGATGGCCCTGCCTCTGCCCTGTAGGCCTTTGGACCCCTCGCTGAGACTGCCCCCTGGTAGGACCCAGACTTTGGAGCAAGGGAAGCCTCTCCCTCACCCCACCTCGATGACCTGATGGTGGCAGTGGCCTTGTGCTCTTGGGCTTCAGGGTCTCCGGCCCAGCCCTGCAAGCCTAGGCCAAACCTCACCAGCCACTGAGGACCCGGCACCTTCCAGGGGCTGCAGCACAGAGTTGGGGGAAGAATGACCACCGAGAAGGCAGGACTGAGAGCTATGCCTCAGAACTGTGCAGATCTGTGTCTTGGGCTGACCTCTGCATCCTGATGGGAGGAGGAGACCACACCTTCTGGTGACAAAGACAAATAAAGGCGTCACCTGCCCTGGGAGGTGAGGAAGCCCAGGCTGAGGATGAGCCAAAGGGTTGGCAGGCCATGGGCTGTTGCCAAAGAGGGAAAGATAAAGTAACATTTGGCTAGCTGAAAATGCCCATTGCCCTTTGAGTAGGTTTACCGGCTGGTGTCTATAAGGTGAAAAACCTGCTCTGAACATTCCCCTCAGCCTTTTAAAAGAAAACTTGCTGTATGTGGACAACACAGATCTAAAGAGGCTGCTGACATATGATAAGGTAGGTTGAAAACCACCTCCGGGAAATGCTCATTTGTTTAAAAAAATGACAGAAAAGAAACACCTTCTAGCAGTGACTTCGTTGGACCATCTGGAGAAGCAACACTAGGTGATGACTTTCCAAGGGTGTTCTGTAGGTTGGAGGACATGGAGCAGAAAACAGGGGGAGAAGACCAGTACCAGACTGGTCATATGTGGGGATGTTCCTATTGTAACCAGTGTTTTGTGTGTGCATTTCAGTCCATATGCATACACACACACACACACACACACACACACACACACAGCATTGTCAGACAATGCTAAGTATTTTATTGAAATATCTGGTCATTGGAGATATTCTCGAGTGCCTGTTAACTAGTAGTGAAATAAGACATTCTTTAATTTTCTTGTTAGTACTGAAATAAAGTACAATTGTGGGGGGGGGAGTGTGTGAGGGTGGGGAAGATGCAGGCAAACCCCTCTTGAGTGGTACACATGGTTCATGCTCCGGTTCCTAGAAGAGAAGGAGGTGCACGCATGACAAGGCAAGCTACCACTGTCCCCTAGGTCCAGGGGTTTTGTCTTACTTAGCTGTGTATGTAGGGCATGTAAAGGACAAAGGAAACCTTTTACAACAGGTAGTCTCCTTCTATGATAAAGAGGTTGACAGTTTGATAAAAGTACAGTTATTAAACTGACAAATTTTGTACTAAAATTCACAGGAAATATTGTCTTCTCAAAGCATTTTAGCCCACTGGGTTAGTGGAGAAAGGAATAGATGCATATATTCAAGATACTTTCAACTATTGTTACATGTGTGTAGTTTAATCAAGACTGCTGGGTATATACCATGGACAAACTGAGTTCTTTTGAAATATCTAGTCTTACCTAGATGTCTAAAAGTGCCCAACATATGCTAAATGTAGAGGTGGTAAAATATCACGTTGTAAATATCTTTTTGTAAAGTTCCTGTGATACACTGTCTTTTGGGAATGGACAGTACGATACTGCCCGTACCTGTCCAGTAGTATGGAGGGGGTGAGAGGGAAGCAATTGCAAACATATTGTGTTAGTGCATTTCTACTTGGACATTTTGAGACGTCTTTTTTCCTGTGTTTTGTGGGTTTTGTTTTGTTATGTATATAGTGGGCAAATTCAAATTTTGCAACACCTAGTTCCTATAAGTAGGAGTTCCAGTATATGGCAAAGTAGCACATTTTGTACGCTGGGTAGAAATACACAGAGAAGCTTGTCCTCTGTAAAGGAATTTTGGATTCAGCCAACTGTAACTTTATGTATGCCTGTACTTGTCCAATGAGTTGAAGCAGAGAGAAGCCAAAGAGGCCAAAATGATCACACTTAGAAGATATCTCAGGTTGCAACCAATGCTATATGTGTGATTTTATTTGTCAGTGTTAAATGATAGCAGACAAATTCTTCTATGAAAAATCTATTCTAGATATGTAGAAGTGTTTGATCCATTAAAAGTAGAAGTAGAATAACACTTTGTAAACAGATTTTATAAACTAATAGAAAATGCTACGTTTACAAATAGAATGTTTAAACCACCTCGGAACAATACACTGTCTGTACAGCTCACTGGGCTGAGAAGGGGGAGGAAAGAAATTGTTGAAAGTGTTTTGTGAAATACATGGTAGAAAAATTTCAGCTTAAAAATAAAAACACTCTGGCTTTGTGCGTGTACTGGTCACAGATTATTGTCAGTGTAGACCACCGCGATGCTTACCAAGCATCTATGATGACTGCTTTTTATTATGGGAGAAGAACAGAGGCCTCTTGTTTGTCTTAATGTTTAGTGTTTCATATCATTTATATCAAGCTTTTGATGCACATATCAATTTTCATCATTAGGGATGATTTCACTCTTCTATAAAAGGACTCTGCTTCCTTTCCAGCATGTCCATGAGTCTGTACCGACAGGAAATTATAAATTGGTAACGATTTCTCTCCCTAGGGCTGCTGGTTTCTATCTTCACTTCTGCTCTCTGCGAAGTCTTTTCTCCGACTCGACTGCCCTCCCATCAAGCAGGCCTGGCTCACAATCTGGACACTGGCCAGCTTGTGAGAACATCTGAAAGTAGCCAGCGACCTGCAGTTTCCTCGCTCCAGTTTTGCCTGTTCCGGAAGTTGGAATCAGAATCCCCTGGCCCAGGAGAGCCACCGGAAATCTCCAGGACGATCCCGGGGCCCACACAGTGCAGAGGATTCGGGATGCGGGGAGCCTGGTGAGTCACTGCCGCTCCGCTCGCAGAGATGAGTGGTTCTGACTCACACGCTATGGCCCGGGCTGCTCTCACACTGTTTCATGGCTGATACTCTGAAAAGAGACATAAAACCTGGATTGAATGGAATACGTACAATGGATGGAGACAGATGACTTGCTTATAAATCTATAAGTGGCCTCCATTTCACTGGCTCCCTCTCGGCCTCTTAACCTTCACCCCTTGCGGTACTCAGGGTAACACGCAAGCTGGGAAAACACAGAACTAGTCCACGGTTTGTCAGCCTTTCAGCCCAGGTTCCTTACTCCACACTGGGTCTAACAAGCTGTTTAGCATTTGCAAAAAGGGAGGTGACTTGGGGTACAACAGAGCGTATTGGTGGAAGAGCTTGTGCAGAGCTGGAACTCGGGCGCTCCTTCTCAGCTCCCCGAGGAGCAGCAGAGGGAGGAGCATGCGCTGTGTGTGTGTGTGTGTGTGTGTGTGTGTGTGTGTGTGTGTGTGTGTGAGCGCGCACGCTGCGTTCCAGGGTGAACATTCTGAAGCTTCCCTGTAGCAGCTCAGTATTTTAGGCCTATTGATTGATTGACTGGGTGGTTTTTCTGACTTGGTACTTTATTTTATGAGTTGTTGTAATGTCCGGCTGCAACTCATTTTAGCAGAATGACATGCCTCTTCCCTGCCAAAGAGTAGGCAATGTGACATGACTCATCAGAAAAGAAGCATGACGCATCAGAAATAAACACTCATGACAAGTGATTCAGGGAGCTAATAAAAGGCAGAACATTGTATTATTCATGTCTGGATAATATTCATGGATAATTCAGTATGCCCAAACCCCCAGAGAGGCGGCTTCTAAGGCAAATACACTGTTTCTGTGGACTTTGCTGAATCAAACCAGATGTGCTGCAAGATACATTTTTATCAAGAGCTTTACTGTATAAATAGGCCCACCAGCCAGATTCCTTCTTAGGTCTCAGAGCAGAGCTCTGAGTGCATCCTGTACCCTGTCATGGGTATTACAAGAAACCATCTGTTTCGGAGAAGTGGTTTGTACATCAGCTTCCTCACTCTGAACCATCATTATTTTAAAGTCCGCATCCTCAAACCAAGATATTGCCAAGAAGTAGAGAGGAAATGCCAGTCTGACTTGATTTGTTGGCTGGAAATTAACGTGTATTTCAATAAAACAATGAGTTACTACAAAGATATGTAGCGAGGGGGCCCCCCATACTTGCATTTTTATAATTATGTACAATTCAAATAGATTTTGGTTTAATTAAATCCATAATCCATGTAGTTTGCATGAGCTAGAAAACAAAACCTTAAAAAGATGATATTATTTTTAGAACCTCAGCAAATCAAATCGACTTACAAATAACTAATTGCTTGCATGACCAAAAGGGAAATGTGCATTGGTTCCTGGTCCTGCACTGTCCGTGGCACAGAATAAGTGCTCCCTGAAGGCTAATCAAACTTCACAGCGCACCGCAGGTCCGGGCGCCAGTGTCAGCATTGGTAATAGTGGTTACCCGGTCATCTCTATGAACGGAGAGGTTCACCTGAACTGTAATCCCACTCACAACTGGCATTTAAACAGCAACTGGCTTGAATCAGTATCCTGTATAAAGCAGTCATTAAAACCTATTCATGATCGTTAACAAGGCAAAGGGAGCTTAGCAGTTATAATTGACAGAGCATAGTATTGCATTAGGACCGGACGTGGAGAGTAAGGACGAGCTGAAGGTGACATCCTCATGCATGGAAACATCCCACAAGACTGACTCAAGGAACACCCACACGGTCTTTCAAAATAAAGTTGAGATTTTCAGCCAGCGGTAAAAATATTCCTGCCACTGCAAGTAGATCTTTGCTGATGCACCATGGGACAAAGTACCTAGAGCAGGGAACTAAATGTGCCTTAGTCTGACTACCAACATCATTTTCTTTACTCATTATGAAAAATAATGTTTTTTTCTCTTTGCTTCTCTATGCTTTATCTTAGCAAGTAAATAATCAAGCTATCTCAGGTTACTGGTGATATGACAGGTAAATGGAGCCTTGTTCTGCACATTCTCCAGGGCAATCACAACTATTATACAACAAGAAGTATTTCCACAAGCTGAATATGAGTAATGAACTTCAACCCTGCCCCAGAAGAATAAAAGACATCAAATGTGACTTCCTGAAGCGAGACTGCCAGTGATGCTGGGGAAGTGAATTAAGAAGTGCGTGTTTACCACCCTGAACAAAATGTGGAACTTGGTTTCACTCTAGGAATTGGGCTCAGTAGATGTAAAGCAACCAACAGGATATGTTTCGCATAGCACATTCTTAGAGTGTTTTACAAGTGGAATTTTTGCTTTTAGCTCTACAAGAGGAAGACTAATCAAAAGCAAACAGTTCAATGATTCTGTTATGCAGCGTACTTGTTCTATAGCTAATTGCAATTCTGCTTCTGATGAAAAACAAAATAATAACACATAGCATTCTTTTTGCCCCCAAGAATTTTGATCCAGAGAAGGAGTAAGACATCCCTAGAGTATCATTTTAGTGTTGATAAAGGTAATTGGAAAGTGTAACATGGGCAGTAGTTTAAGTCAAATCAACCTACCAGCTGAGTCAAAGAACCGGGCAGACCGGCATGCTCACTCTGCAGCAGGGCTGAAGGATGGCAGGCTCCCATCTCTCCCTCCCTCCATCTCCGACCCTCATGAGGTGGAGAGAGCTTTCCCTGGTGGAGCAGTGCAGAGGGCCTGTTCCCTGTGAGCAGCGGGTCCCAGACAGGAGAGGGTGATCAAGCCTTGCAGTGTCACCAGTAGCTGTTCCTACAGTGACTGGGAGTATGGGAAAGAACCGGAAATTGCAGCATTTCGTCTGTCACTGACAATAAATGCAACGTCAAGAGTAAGAAAATCATCCCCTTCTTAAGACAGAAGAGTACAAATTAACGATAATTTAGCATCAACTCAGTTTGGCTTAAATAACCAACAGCTCACTTTAATCTCTTCCCACGATGACTATTTCCTGGCCCGAAAACATACCTACATTTAATGTATATGTGATGTGAGTCTCTTTCTCTGGCATGGGTTAAGATTTTGATGTTGCTCTCTGTCCTCCTTTCACACATTCATGTATTCTCATTTATATTGTATCCGTTTAGCTTCCGGGAGCTTGCCTGTATATTAACTAGTTTGATATGTAGCATACAACCACATGCAATTAGATGTTGAATGTACACGCCCTGATTAATACTCTGCTGTCCCTGTTCCCGCCTTCCTTCTCCAGTAGCTATCACTTCTCCATGTATTTAGATTTTAACGATTTCCCCATCTATTCATATATGAACAATTTAAAAGTCTAACATGGAGGCTACAACACACAGAGCCTGATAGCTTGAACACAGCTCTGCCCAGGGCAAGAAAACACTACCCTTGTTATCAATGCAAACAATGTTGGTAAATCATTTTACTTTCATATCAGCATTTTACTTCTAGAGGATGCCTCCTGCATCTTTGAGGTAATTCACTGTAACAGAAGAGTAAAAATTACGATCGCATTGAAATGATTGGAAGAGATAAACATTAAAAAATAGATGTGAAACCTCAGATCTACCTAGCTGCTATGTCCTAATCAGCTGAAATATGTCACATCAGATTTTCTAGCAAATGGCGTCAGGAAAACCATGCAAAATCTAAGCCATTGTTAAACAGACCTGCCTCTGTGTCATGTCAGGTAAGTTTTATGCTGTCTTTTAGACAGAGTTAAATTATTAATCACTGTGTTTTAGCATATGTCATGTCTGGCAGAACTGGAACTTACTGATGATATTCCACACCATAACAACTAGAAATTTTACTCTAAATCTTACGTTCGGTGCATAGAACTTCCCTGATAGAAATCACACAGGGATTCTTCCCTCCCAGTGGTTTGGCCACCAGATAAACCAGGTGACCTGCTGTGCCAGATGTACTTGTTAGCACACTGTGGGCTTCAGAAGGGAAAACCTTCCTGCTTTTGCCCACTAAACTCTGAAACACGAGGGAGTGAGCTAGTCCATTTTCTAGTGCTGTGACACGATATCTGAGAAATGCAAGCTAAAAGAGGAAAGGTTCATTCTGGCTACAGTTTTCATGAGATAGTCACTTGGGCCCTTTGTATCTGGGTGTGTGCATTGTGTGAGAGAGAAAGAGAGAGAGAGAGAGAGAGAGAGAGAGAGAGAGAGAGAGAGAGAGAGAGAGAAATTCTCTTTGGAGGACGTATACTTTCTGTGGTAACATATTTCCTCTAAGTAGAACTTACCTCCTACCCAAACCTTCCCCATTCCCCAAGTGCCCATAAATCACCAATGGATTAAGTCATACATGACATCAGAAACCTCCTGATCCAGTCTCCTCCCAGAGGCGCTACCTCTGAACACCATTGCACCGGAAACCAAGCTTTCAACATATGGGCTTCTGATGACATTTGAAATCCAAACAACATTAGGAACGACCATGAGGATAAACCCTCAGGAGGAACCGTGGGCAGCAGTACGGCATGCACCGGCCAGGGACCCACAGCATGTGACGGCCAGGCCAGCAGCCTTCCTTCAGCTTGCACTTTGGCTGAAGGCCAAGGGCAGGAGCTGATCTGGAAGCTTCCCCACTAAGACATAATGCCTGAAATGGGCCAAGGGCCCTAGGTTGGAGGCACCCTCTGCTCCTAGCAGGGGCAAATGTAAGTTGGGCCTGAGGAAAGCACCTGTAACTTATTCCTGCAGAATCTCCACAGATAAGGATTGAGCAATTTAGTAATTTATCAACTAATGCTTTCTCACTGTTTTTTTTGAAATTCTGTATTATTTCTATTTCACTTTTTTTCCTCTAAAAAAAAATATTGAGCAATTTGGAGTTCACGGAGTTCAGCAAGTTCCAAACTGAGCCAATTTCTACTGGGGGAGAGTTTAACAGCTTAAAAAGAAAGAAAGAAGAAAAAGAAGGAAGGAAGGAAAGAAGGCAGGCAGGAAGGAAAGAAGAAAGAATGAAAGAAAAGAAAGACAGAAAGAAAGAAAAGCAAGCAACAAAGAAAGAAAGAAACAAAGAAAGAAGACAGGCTGCTTTAGACCCCCTGGGCTTTGCATATTCAACTCGTGGTGAATAAGCTATTACATAGTCACACATGAAATACGTACTGATTTTGGTTTTGTCGGTTTTATCCTTTACGGTTTTGTTCAATAGTATTACAACTAATGATATAGGCAATTCTATTAGAAATAGCGGGAGGCATTAGGGTAACCATTGTTGATCACCTTGTATTATGTTTTTATATTATCTATTATATCCACCCTTTTGACTTGACCGATTCTGTTCTGTTATGTCACATTTGGTTTTACTCTCTTCCAAAAAAGCAATAAGAACAGTGGGAGCAATGAAACCCAAAATGTGTAATAGTCACTGTACAAAAGAGAGGAAAAGAAAATGCTCTAAACTATATAACTGCATGTATATTTAAATGTATAAGACAGAAAATGATATCACAGAGTTCTAATGGATCATTGAACAGAACTGTTTGCAGTATCATTGCTGGAATGTCCACTCTACAAACTTTAATTCTGTGACTTGAACAATTATTTCTAAGATGGCAATATGTAATCTATTAACTAGTGATTTCCTACTGCGCATTTTTTTCTTCTGTAAATCTGTATAACTTGTACCCTTCACTGTTTTTTTTTTTTCTTTTCTTTTCTCCTTAAATAAAAATTTAAAAAAAAAAAAAAAAAAAAAAAAAGAAATACGTACTGAGTGAGAGGCGAGAACCCCAGGAAAACAGGAAGTTAACCCTCAAGCATGACTGTGTAGATCTGAACAAGAGAAAATAAAGCTCTGGGGGGTGAATATACAACAGTCGTACAAAGCCTACAATGACTAGGTGAAGCAGCAGGTTGAATACAGAGATACATAAATCTGTCTCTAAAGAACATGACTGAGAAATAAGGTTGTGGAATGTGAAATAGAAAATTAAGAGAAACAAAGGGTCTGATATGCAAGTAATAAGAGCCCTGAGAGGAGACTGTAAAAGGAGGCTGCAAGTCGTAATGGTTGAGAATTTTTCATAAATGAAAGAAAGTACAAACTCACCCTCAGGAAGTTTAACGTTTCTCAAGTAGAAGGGGTAAAAATGTCATCGGTGCTTACACAGTTCAGGTGACACTGCAGCCCCCGGAGACAAAGTGAGCTCCTTAGAAGTAGCAGGGAAGGAAAGAAGAGGACCCACAAAACACAGAAACCACACCGAACCCAGACTTTCGGTGGCAACAAAAGAAGCCAGAAGCCAAGAGCCAGGGGGTTAGTAAGTTTCCATCACTGGAAAGTGATGACCGGCCTTGGACTGAGTTCCTGGCAAAACTACCAGCCAGAAGTGAGGACAAAATAAAGTCGTTTTACTTTATACCAAAAGCATTTTATTCTTTAACTTTACGAGGACTATATTTTCTATTAATGGGCTCACGCCAACGGAACTTTTAAAGACTCCTCTTTGGGAAGGACGACAATGACTTCTAAAAAGATTCCTGACGTACAGAGAGAAGCAGCAAGCACATAGAATAACAACCAGGAGGTGCCCGTGTAGGGTAAGCATCGCCTGTATCATGACAACAGTGTTTGGTCTGTGCTGGTGATGTGAAGGCAGAACTGAAATGTGATGCTGACAGCTGTAACTCAAAAGGAAGCGGTCAGAACCAAGTGTTCTAAGGTTCTTCCGCATCTACATGTGATTTATTTTAGTAAATCTAAATAGACTAAATTTATTTGCTAACCTATGTACTATAACTACTGTATACTGTTTACAAGGAGCAGGGGAAAGGTAAATAACAAAACAATAAAGGAAGGACAAATTTATCATTGAAAACCCAAATCATTGCCCCACAAAATAGAGACAGAGGTATTATGTAGGATTGGCTACTTAATTATAAAAGCTTCAGCTCCTCAGGGAAACATAACAGCTTTAAAGTTAATGCTTTTATTAAACTGGCATTAAAATGTATATAATAAAAACTGGGGAACCTGAGGGACTCTCCTTACAGTGAGGGGTTCATCATTTTTTCTCAAGATCGAGAGTACAGGCACAAAGCAGAATGGCACTGTAGACTCTTAGTAAGACAACTTCACTTCTCTGTGTATTACACACGTGACACGTGGTGGCCAGATGGGCTTATCTAGGACTGCTAGCGTGACTCGATAAATAACATAAGATGGCTCAATAACTGGTGAAAGGATTTGATAAAATTGACTGGCAATGTATCCTTAAAAGTGACTTCTATTAGAAATACAGATATTTCCTTACACAGGGCTGTCTTTTTCAAGTCATCAGTCCCAGTGATGCTTCATGATGAAACCCGAAATGTGGCTGAGAGACTGCTCTGTGGTCTGTGTCCTGCAGAATAAATACCTGTGTCTTTAACTCTTTAATCACACGCAAGTTAACTTACCAGGTTTATTCTGCCATGCACTGAGCATGATGATTGAACCTACCTCAAAGCGTTCTTTAGGTTAGCGCATTCTTTATTAGTCGGCTTTCCACTACTATGAGAAAACACCCAAGAACGACAGTTGGGAGGAGGAAGTGTGAATTGTTCATGGTCTAGGAGACCTCACTCGATGCTCTGCTCACACCATTGCCTCTGGGCCCATGGTGAGACAAGATGTCCCATCCAAAGGGAACAAGGGGCAAGGAGCTACTGCACAAGGTCCAGGAAGCTGAAAGCTGGAGGCTGAGGAGAGGAAGAGGAACCAGAGGAAGAGGATGCAAAGCGACCAGAAACAAAATGTACCCTCCAAACTGGGCACCATGACTTGTTCCATCCAGTCAGGTCCCAGCTCTATAAAGCCAGTGAGCTGTGAACTCAGGGATGGAGGAACCCCCTTATGTAGCTAGAGCCCTCCTGACCTGGTCACCTCCCAAAAGCCCTTCAGGGAGAAGCAAAGTCCCCAGCATGGCCTTTGGAGGACACCGTAGACTGAAACTGTAACACATTACACAATCTATTCTAGAAAAAAATATGAGCTCAGCAAGGGATAGTCATTGTTATTACTTGAGGTTTTCCCACACAAGTTAGTACAAAGATGAGAATATGTATCATGATTACTATTATTTGACATTGTCTGTGGAATTTTAATCCATACAAGATAAGCAAGTATAAGGAAAATGAAGAAAAACAGGTGCAAAACTACTGAAAAACAACTTTTGTAGACCATATAGTTATCTTCTAGAAAAATCAGAAAACCCACAGACAATTAGAACTAAATAAGACTTGATAAATTAATTTAAATGATTACTAGTATTATATATACACATATATATACTTAGAAAAAAGGCAAAAAGTCATCATTCAAAATATTAATTAGGAACATATACTTAGACCTTAGATTCTTTCATTGAAAGAATAAATAAAATAGACAAATCCTTTGCCAATATCACAGAAATAAGGAAATAACAGGCATAAATTAATGCAATCAGAAACTAAAAAGGTGAAATCACAACAGAGACTACCCAAATCCAGAAAAATTATTAGCAACTACTTCAGAGACATAAATGACCAACAATTGGAGAGCTCAGTAGAAATGGACAGATTTCTAGATACATATAATCTGCCAAAACCAAAGGAAAAGGACTTAAAAATCTTAATCCAATAACAGGTAATGAAGTTGAAGCTGTAATAAAAATCTACCAACTGTCAGGCATGGTGGCAGCACTTGGGAAACTGAGTCAGGAGGACAACCATGAGCTCAAGACCAACCTGAGCTAATAGGCCAGCCTGAACTACAAAGAGTTGATTCTGCACTCTCTATGATTCTGTTCTAAAACTGAGCTGGATAGGAACCAAATCAAATCTCCCATAAGGTCCACAATGAACCTCATCACTGAATTGGATTCAGTTCTCACCTAACTCAGTTTGTGACAGAATTGTGGAAAGAATCAAGTTCATGAACCAAGGTACCAATGTGTTTTTTCATGTCTCTCAATGTAGTTTTACATGTTGTCTGTGCAGGGCAAGATATGCAGATCCTGTCTATTTCTTGTGAAATTCGTTCTTAGGTATTGCATTGGCTCCTTTCTCTCATTGCTGAGACAAAATACCTGATGCCCAAAATGAAGGAAGGAAGAGTTTATTTTGATAACACTTTGTGGAGGTTTCAGTGCATTATCAGTTCACTCCAAGGCAGGGTAGCACATGGCAGAGGGTAAGAGTTCATGGTGGTGGAAAACAGTACAAAAAGCAACAAGAGCAAAAGAGCACAGAGAGAAGACTGTTCCTTATATTGTATGCAGGCCACACCCACTTGGGTGTAGCATACCCATAATCCCAGCATTGGACCATGAGTCATTCACAAACTCTAGAAGCCTGCCTCCCTGTCTACATGAAGCGTTGGGGGGACATTCAGACTCAACAATAACAGGTACATATTTCTTTTTCTTACTTTATGAAAAAAATAAAATTTCATTTAATAATGAGAATAACAATTGTAGCATTGCTATACATCATTATCTATAAACCAGTTACTCAGAATACAAGACATAAACCAAAAAGATTCTTACGACAAAGAAATAAAGAGATAATAACATAGAATTTCATTTCAACCAAATAAGATAAACTAGTAGTATAAATGAAACCAATTAGCATATATATTAAAATATTTTTAAAGAAATGGAATTGTAATTCCTGGAAGTCTTTGAACTTTTCCTTCTCCCTATTTATCTCTTTTCTATTTTGCTATATGTGTGTGTGCATAATTTCTCATATAAGAGAAACCATGCTTTATTTTTTGAACTTGTGTGTTTGACTTACTTCACTTAACATTATGTTCTCAATTTGCATCCATTTACCTATGAATTTCTCAAATGTATCTTTCTTTATGACAATGTAGCACTATACTCCATATGTATAAATACCCCATTTTCCTTACGTATTTAGCTGTTGATGGATATATGTGTATATATATATACACATATATATGGCTTCCAAGATCTATAAATTATGCCTCTATATACATGGGTATGAGTGTATCCCTATAATATGATAATTTTAACTCTTTTGGGAAGATTACTACTGTTGTAGTCAGGGGTTGTGAGGAGAACAATTAGAATCAGGACATGAAATTTATAATAGTATTTTATGATGGTACTCAAAGTTAACACAAAGTGCAGGAAATCTGTCCACAACACCAAAGACAGAGAATATTCAGCCAAGGGCCTGAATCTCATAGCAGTGTCCTGCATGAGTCCAGATGAAGACCCAGAGCTCATGATAATGCCTCCATGAGTTCAACTGGAAGTCTAGAGCCCACAAGAAAGACTCATGCCAGTCTCTTTTATGGATTTGTGCTGGGAAGGCCCAAAGGTCAGTGGTGGAAACCAGAATTTCCATGCCAGCAGGGTGAAGGAGCTGTGCTGGTAGGTTGAGGGTTCTACACTGGAGCCAAGAAGTCACACTCAAAACAAAGACCAGGACTGTCCTGAAAGGCACCACAGCCATGTTCAGTGACATAGAGGCCCTGAGCTCCTTCGATGATAGGCACAAGAAGCCAGTGTGATGCATTCATCCTGGAGACCAAGCGGCACATGTCTTCCCCTCTGGAGCCAGGAAGCAATGCTCGATGTGAGGACCAGAGCTTCTCCAAGAGAACCAACAGCTCAAAGAGCAAGTCATAGCAGAAGCCACAATGCCTCAATGCCTCAGTGCCTTACTTCTCCTTCTCCACGTCTCTATTTATGCTGGCAACTTTCCTCAGGTGG